CTAAGACAGCAAAGTTCCTAGAAGCCCAAAAGGAGAAAAAACCTTTGACACATATTTCACACATAGTCACTATCCCAGGAAAAGGCATTTTTGTGACATTAATTCTGAGCACTGAAAACACTCTGGGATCCAAATCAAGAACAACCAGGTCCAAACTCCAAGAGACCTTATGAACTGCATCTGATAAGTGAGGGTCAGAGTCTGCCAGCCTTTTTCACACCAGACTGTCTCGATGAAATCAACACAGTTACTGATTTCAGTCAATGGGTCTACAGTTGATCCCTATTTGCAACAACACCAGTTAAGAACAATAATCACCTATCAGCAACATTTCCCTTGGGCACATTTCCCTGCCATGTATTCAGATGACACTTTCTAGAACAACAATAGTTGTTTAGGAACAACACAGCACCTGGGCATGGACATATTGTCAGGAACAAGCATCAACTGTACTTAAGTAATGTCAGTAGCATGCATCTGATTGCAGAACACAGCTCCTCACTTCACAGTAATTAGTCATATTCATTCAATTATTTTATCAGTTACATTTTAAAAAAAAGTAAACCATAACTAGATTAACTTTATAATGAGCAGACACTGCGTCAAGGACCAGAATACAAAGTGATCCAGATAGCCAAAGGGACAGCTTCAGGGTTGGAAAAACCCCCCAGTTAAAGGTTTAAGATGATGGAGCTTTTGGAAGGGGGTGAATTTTTCAAGGTAGTACATGTGCTGCCCACTTATCTAATAGCCAATTTGCTAAACTATATGGAGTGATTTAAAAAAGAAATCATTTCTCTCCACTGGATAATTTGTTTTCTGGTTTGGTACATTTGTTACTTTACCTTTTTCACACTATAACTTCCAGGGACATAGACATCCCAACACACTGTATAATATCTATATGACAGGGCACTTCCTAATGAGACTATACTGCATTTCCATCAGCTGTTCTACTGCAACAGCCTTCCCAAAATCCTTTTCAAACAAAAATCTGAACTAGTACTTTGTGCCCATGCAATATGGTTTCTTGTTGCCTTGGGTTGTTTATCTGTGTTCAGATAAGATCAACACAACTGACACCCACTACTTCTTACTAACAGTTTTCATCAATATAACTTAACAGCTTTCTCCAAAAGTCCGCAAGGGCCCCCCCAGCTTCGTCATTCAGCTGCTTCAGACCCCACACAATTAGCTAATTAAAACATTTCATTAGTCACTTAAAAATCCAACCTCCCACCCTCTTTACTATGCCATGCTGTGCATCAGTTCTCACTAAGCAACTATCATTTTAACCATTCACTCGCTTTATGTCTCTTCAACCCACTGCTTGCAGTCTCATCCTTGTAAATGAGACCTCTGCCCCTGTTTACAAGGATGGCCACTAGTTGCGATAGGGCCATGAAGAGGAATAAGGACCCTTTTATTCCTTTGTGGCTGCTTTAAGACTTCCTGGATCTGGAATGTTGGACACAGCAGGTCCAGAAAGTCCTGAACAGAGTGCTTTAGATTCTCCTCCAGGGAAAGGAGCAGTTTCCACACTTACATTGGCTAAATGTACAGTGGAAAATAAAGAACCCTTCTGAAATGACTTTGTTGTCTGTGTAACATGGTAGGGGTTGAGACCCCAAGGCACAACATCTGGGGTTCCATACCTGCATCCTATTCCTTCCTTATGATAAACACAAAAAATATGACAATGATTTTTTTGTGTTAAGAGTATCCTTCCGCACCATGGAACCAGACAGCAATAGCATCAGTAATTAGCTAATTTTCTCAAAATCAAAATTACTCTTCACATAAAACAAAGCAAGCAACAGATGCATACATCTCTTCCCCCTTGCTTCTTCATTTCACACCTGTTGGCTTGACCCTGGTCTGCTCTGCTCCAGACTATCATAGCAGACAGTAACCCAGAGGGCAGATCTACCTACTCTCCACTGCAGCAGATTTTAATGAAACATTTTAAGAGGGCAGCAGTACCACACAGAAGTGACCTTAGCAAACTGTCAATTACCTGCTGGAGATCCATAAAGACATGTCTCTCTCCTCAGCTCCTGCTATGCAGTACACCTACATGAGATCATGCAACATTCTCTTTGGCTTGTGGATCAGCTCTTGGTTACTGAGGTACCCCACTATAGCATTTACACATAGCCTTGTTTTTTGGGAGGGTGGGGGATTTTGTTTTTTCTTAAGCTGACCCCATTTCTCTGTCAGTGCTGCATAGAAAGTCTTATTCCCTCTCTCTGGTTCCATTAACAGCTCCTGTAAATACAACGATAACGATCCTGGAAATTTTTTATCCAGCTATCTGCAAGGGACTCTTCAGGAAGGAGGAAAGAGGAACCCATAGATGGGAAATATAATCCTGGTATCAGTTAGTAATGAGACAAAGTCCATTGGCTACATGACAAGAAGATACAAAGGGAGGCTGCATGGTCTACTGAATGAGGCATTAGACTGGAAAGAAGACCTAGATTTTATTCCTGGCTCTGACCCATGAACAGACGCAAGTTATTTCACCTCTGTCTGCCTCTCCTGCTCCTCCCACCCTCTGTCCGTCTCCTCTATTCAGGCTGTAAGCAAACCGCATCAGGAACTCCCTCATGGTTTAGACAGCGGAGTGCCAAACACAATGAGGCTGCCATCTCAACAGGACCTGTGATACTACCATTGATATGTATTGATATGTAGACCAAGCTGCAGGCAACATTATAGTATTCTGGGTGAAAACATTCGTTTTAATTCCTTGAAGAGGCTGGTTATATTTCTCCCCCACCCTCAGTACAGGTAAGGAACAAGAAAGAAATACTGAGAAGATTAGAGAGTAGGTGACAACACTTCTATGACCATAAATTCACTCTGGTCACTATTAGTTTAACAATAAAATTTCATTAGTGCCAAACATCCTGGAGGTCAAATAGCTGTTTATGATCTCTCTTCTGTTAACTTAATCATGCACACTCAGGTAACAAGAAGATAAATACAAGTTACCCTTTGCCTCTGTAAACAAGAAATTGCTGGGAAAATGCCAAAGTTGTTTGAAAGAATACAGGAGTGAATAATTGGGTCACAATGACTGTTACATGTGTACTTATCTTAAATCCCTACCTCATGCCCTCTGTCTTGCACAGGACATGATTCACTGTCTGCTTCTGAGAACGACCCAGACTCATCACTGGAGTTTGTTCCATAGGATGGCTCACATTTAATCTGGGGTCTGACTTGGTTGTACATTCCATCTCCCATCATGCCTGGCTCCTGATGCTCAGGGGCCAGGAATCGAGCTCCTTGAGAACAGGGGGAAGATGAAAACTCACACAGAGGGAGGCTACAAGGAGAACCACCACTGCCATCCTCTGCATATGAGTAGGAGGAGCATGAGCTGGAGGTCCTGGTTCTGGTTTCCAAAGGAGGAGAGCGAGGGCAAACTTTAATTGGCACTGGGCAGCTGGTGTTAGGCCGCATCCTTCCCGGCAAGTGATCAGCTGTCAGTCCACTGTGGGAATAGGTCTGTGAACTAGGAAGGGATTGGCTGCCTCCAGCCCACAGACCTTTTGGCAAAGTCTCAGCAAGGTCTTTCTCCAGGCTGCTCACACCAGAATATGAATGCACCGAAGTGTTTACTTGGTCACAAGCATTTGAAGAGAATATAACGCTCCTCCTGTCCAGTTCACCTTCCTGCTTACAAAGAGCTTCAAAACCAGGCCCCCTGAGAGGCGATCCTCCAGGGAAGTTGGAAGCATCCTTTTGAACAGCATGGGACTGCCCATAATTCCCTGTGAAAGGGCTGTAGTCAGTTTTGTGGTCACCCTGAGTTGTCCCCTTTTCAAAAGGGCATGCTGGACTCCTGGCAAAGTGCTGTTGGGAAGTACTTGGAAAGCCAACCAAATCTATATTTTTTGTTCTGTTGAAGAAAGACCTTAAGCAGGAAGGAGAGGACCCACTTTTAGACCTGTCAACACAAGTAGGGCTTGGCTGTTTCCTATCCATTTCAACATCCCCCTCTTTATCCCTGATGTCAGGTTCATCTCCAGACAGGCAAAGTGTGATGCTTTCTTCATCATTTTCCTCATTCGAAGGTTCACTTTTAATCTGCCCCACAGCAAGTCCTGATTTGAGGCCATTACCAGAGCTCTCGTTACCAAATGTGCTTGCAAAACCTGAGGTACTGATGTGTGATGTGTTGTAGACATTCTTGGTACAAGCAAGCTGGTATTTCTTATATCTGGGGTACCGTGTTACTGCATCTTTGTCCAAACTGTCTTTGCTATCTCTCAGTACGTCCGAGTCAGGCAACATGCCTTCTTCCTTGTCTGCTCCAGAACCAGTGGATTCAAAGTTAAAGGGCTCCTGCTGCATCCTCTCTCTTGGGCAAGATATCTTTGAAGTCTCTGATTCCATAGTTTCCTCCTCTTCCCCATCTGAGTTCTCTTCATCATGCATTCGCTGACAGGCAGTATCCTTTTTGCACAAGAAGAGGCCATCTTCATTGTTTAGCAGCTGCGTCTGAAGAAAGCTGAAGCAGGAATCCTCCAAGTTGTGCATGCGCAAGAATTCAGCACAGTGGATGACCTCTTGGATGTTTTCTCTGCTGAGTAACAGCTTAGCAGTGTAGGCAAACTGTAACAATGGACCAAATCCCCTGGCAGTGACCTGCAAAAAAAAACAGGGAAATTGCTAGCATTACCATCAGCACAGCTATTGTCCAAAGTCCTTCAAGTGCAGTTAGATAACCTGACAGCTCTAATGTCCAGAAATAAATACTGTAAAGTACCAGTTAATCTTTTATCAGGTCAGCAATGATGCTACCTCCAATAATTAATGCTGCCTGCTCCATGTTGCTTTAAAATCACATTAAAAGTTATGCAAAACATTCTTTAGATTGAATGACTAAAAAGCTATGAACCAGGTGCTTTTGCTAATAAGAGGAGTAAATATATATTAACAAGTGTGTTATTAACTTTTCAATGGGCACATGGGCTTCCACACAATGCACTGTAATTACCAACAAGATACAAATGAAAGATTGATTCTTCTAACCCTGGTGCAGAATGGCTTTTTGGAGAATAAAGGAGTTGCACTTAAATCTGAACAGTGTTCTGGGAGGAAAACATTTCTATTTTAATATTAAACAAATATGAAATCTTTCCCCCTCTTTAGCTAGCCAACCAAGCTGACTTGTGTCCTCAGAATTGATGCTAGTCAACACTCAACAAGTTGCTATTTACCAGACAGTGGATTTGTGCTGCCCACTGGCTCTCTTTCACTTGAGAAATTCCATTGTTTCTGGTTTTAGTGTGTATGAAGTGTAGCATATAGGAAAGAGATGAGTATCCACATTTTAGCTGCCACAAAACATACTGAAGCCCATGACAGCACACAATTTCATATCACTTTTCTTTAGTGAAAAAGTTAACAATGACCAGAATTGTGGGTGCTTCACATTATACACTTGTACCCTGATAGATATGCACATGTGCATAAATTATAATGCGTATGTAATATATACCCCAAACTGGTGCAGAAACACACATCCTCTCCCTCAGATATACTGTGATGATACTCATACACAGAGCTGTCTGATAAATGGCAGAGCCATGTGACAAATATGGTTATTCAGGCACTTTCAACTGTATTGCTTGTATTCATCCCACTAATGTCTGTTGCCATAGACTTTAATTAAATATTTTCCTAACGCAAATGGCTCTGAAGTACAAGCACTATTCATGTCTTGGAGCAGCCGTAAGTTTAGTACCGGGTAAGTCCTGAGCATTCCAAAACAACTTACGGCTTTGTTGGTCATAACTGCAGACTTGTGTTAAAACTACCCTGTAAGCCAACTAACACAGGCATGGTCCATCATCAAGACACAAGGTTTCTGAACAGGAAGGGTGATCCAGTCCTTCAAGAACTAGCGTTGGAGGCCTGGGTTCAAATTCCCTGATGCACTAAAGACGTCCTATGTGACCATGTGCAAGTCACATAGCCTCTGTGCACCTCCATCATTAAAGTGAGGAGAGCAGTTTCCTAGCTCACTATGGGTTTAGGAGGAGTTGAAGGCTGGAAGCTGCTAAGCTATTATGGGTGTTGGGGGCATGCCTAGATTATGCCTATTCTGCATTTGGGTGATGTGATGTGCTGATATACCTAAGTGTGGTTTAACTTAGCCCAGGCAGTACAGACTTCACTGTAAGTTGTATCATTCCATCAAGGATCCTGGATACTTATTTGCTGCAGCTTTGCTGCTACTGGTACCTGCCTTGGCTAGACTGAAGCTTGCTCAGGTATGCCCATATGTCCTGCAACCACACCTCAGACTGCTGCATAGACACAGGTATGGAGAGACGCACAGCTTTCCAGTGAGACATACAGCACCTATTTTAATTTGAGATGTTCTGGTGTTCATAACTCCCCAGATTTAGTTTCTGAAGGTCTGTACAGTTGGATTCAAGTATATACAGACAAGCCAATGACTCTGTGAGGTCCACGAATATAGGAACATGAGCTGGGGGAGCCTAGAATTTTAAAACCATAAATGATTCATGAAGGGCTACCGTGTCCCACACACCTTGCCCTTCAGTATTTAGTATAGACTATACATTTACAGAAGAATTTCTTTAAAAAACAAGTCCTTGTTATTTGCCACTTTTCACTTGTTAAACCAGATAATCAAGAGCCCTACATTGCAGAAAGGAAAATATTCTAAATATTATTTAGAATAAATTTAGAAAAAGCTTCTAAATATAGTTCTCAATAGGTTTTCTGCATATAACTACTACCTTTAGCTTACAAATTCCTTCCAAAAGCCCATACAGCCCTGTTTTGCTATGTGTTCTTGGATTTAAAATTGCCTAGACTTACTGGTGGATATTAGAACGATCTCTGCTCTGCTGGTGTTACATCTTCTGTTGCTCTGCTAGGGTGTGGACACATGAATGTTTGGAGATCTTTCAAAAGGGGATTTTTTTAAAAGGGCAGCAGCTGATATGTTCTAACTGTTAGGTGTGAA